CGCCATATAGATCTTGCAGGACTTCAGCCTGTCTCAAGAATTGTTCCTTGAAATGCATCAAGTTTTCCGTTGTTCCTTGCTTCATAGCAAAGAACTTTTGATTTGCTTCCCAGAAATCCAAGAAATCCATCGTTTTCATCTTTTGTTGAAAATAGATGTTTCACAACTGTTGAACTTGAATGGCTCTTGACTTTCTGAGGAGTCACACATCCTCTTCCACCACCGGATGAAGAATGTCCCATTGTCAACGAATCACTCACTCCTTTGTAGATAAGACAGTGCTGTTCTTGACGCAAATTTGTTTTGTTGCCTTTTGTGATTGAATGTTAGAATAAAGCAAAATGTGCTCTATCGTGAGTGCCTTTAGCGCTCAGAACAAACTCTCTGCAATCTAAATTTGTAATTGACTGTACAACACTTTCACAACAATAGTTTTCCTGTGTCTAGATATACTTTGAGTGAAATTGTTCCTATTTGATTAATATTTGGCTTGAATTGATGACTCAATCACAAAAGTAAGTTCAACGATTTTCCCTTGGAAAATCTCTTGTTTACAGAACTTGATTGGACCTCTATGACAATTCTGTGTTGGATGCAGTACTTTGGGACATCTTGTATTATTCCCTACTGTGTTGTACACAACATCAATATGTCACTTGTATAGGGTCATCCCCTTTTTGTGTGGATGTAGATTGTCCGACAGACTTGCGTCTTGCATACTTGCGTCAAATTCCGACATCACAATCAAAAAACTCATATTTCGTCATATCCCAACACACTCCTGCCATTGTGACAATCACCATTGGCAGCAATGGGACATGCTCTCATTCACTGTTTATTTTTGTTTTGTATTTTCATTTTGAACATATACATACTTGTCTGACCTAGTCCTGTGGACCAAGAATCAGATCCCTGAACTTGTGAAACTTCTCACCTTGCAATGGCTTAGTCATGAAATCTGCAATCATATCGTCAGTTGGACAGTATTCGACCTTAACATTTCCTTTCTCAACTTGATCTGTGATAAAGAAATATCAAATATTGATAGCTCGGCTTCTTTTGCCCGCGCTCTTGCGACAATTCTCTTCCAGTAGAATCGCAATCTTATTATCCTGATACAAGATATTTTTCTCGATCGGATACCCTTGCCACTCCACGAACAACTTTGTCCATAGTATCATTGTGACAACATCGTCAACAGCAATCAGTTCCGCTTCCATACTGCTTCTGCTGTTTAGCTTTTGCTTCTTTGACATCACTTGAGCTGCACCTCCTTTAAAGGACAGAGTGCCGCCAGTATGGCTCTTGAAATCTGGATGCACCGCAAATGATGCGTCGATCATCCATTTCATGACTCATAGTGATTCTGCGGAAAGTGTCAGGTGATACAACGATGTACAAAGTAAATATCGCATCATGCAAACACACTTCTTCCAATCAGACTCTGTAGGTTCTCAAACTCTTGAGGCAAGAATAGTAATTGTTGGATGGATATCCAAACGAGCTCTCTTAGAGACATAAAGTCCCCTTGCAACAGTAGTATGAAAGATCTGGCGGTACTCAGCACTGAGTAACTTCCCTTTACCAGCTTCCAGTAAATCCTTACCAGCTGGTGTTTCCTGCTTTGAATCCTTGTTGAACTTGACAGGAAAATCTTCCAACATGTTCTTGACATAGTCGTCCATGCGGATTTTGAGTTTTCCTTTCACCGAGAAATCCAAAGTCATTCCAAGATATCTGTGTATCTTTCCTCTGACGATTTTACGTGCCTGGATTGAACCATATCTCATGTTCAACCACTCAGCAAATTTGTCATTTACTTTTGGATCCATGTGACTTGACATAAGATCATCAACATGAAATCTGATAGTTTGCTGTTTTTCATTAACAACTTTGTTAGAAACACACTGGTCATACGGATTGAAAACAAATTTCTTTGCCTCTAAATCACTTTGAAACTGATTATAGAATAGGAGGCTTGATTGTAACATCCCACAAATAGCACATAGTACCCGCACATAGACTACTCGCTTTCCGTTCTCCAATACAACGTATTCGCGATACTCTGGGGCCATGTCAATCGATATCTGGACCATCATGCCAGTGATTTTCATGTAGAAGCGATCTTCTCCTTCCTTAGCTTCAGGCATATAAGTTTGAATGAAAGCGTTGGACACGTCCATCATCATTATATCCATCGTCATTACATCTCTACCTTCGTGTGCATCAATAACACAAGTAGTGGTGATTGCTTCTTGTGAAGCTTTTGGACTTGCAGCGTCCTCTTGCGATAACCATTCACGAGTTCCATCGCCTTGGTATACTAGGCGACCTTTAGTTTTCTTTTCGAATTGCTTTTCCGCAAGTATCATCATTGCTGATTGGGCCTTCTTTTGCTCAGACGCGGTCATGTCTTTAACAAATTTGGGAGTAAAACAATCTCTCAGGAGCATTTGTCTCAATTCCTTATTATATCTCTACCTTCGTGTGCATCAATAACACAACATCGGAAAAGAAAGTCTGGTCCTATTGGTCGGCTTGCTCATGTCACATTAGGACATGGCTCGGTCTACTTATATCACGTGGCCATGTGATTTTATCGCAGCCATTCCACTGGAACCTTTTCATATTTATTTTTGCCTTTGTGCTAATGTCACCTTTGCCATGTGAAAAAATCACCTACAACTTGTCATTTTGGGACAGGGTCTAGCCACCATCAACCATGCACTGAAAGTCTCAATACCACCTTCACCCTGTCATTTTTGCATTGCCAGCATCATCTATTGTCACATGCCCAAAGTGTTAATGTGATCACTACAACAATGGAAATATCACAATGACTATATTAATATCAACTAAACAATACTTGTTCTATCTACTTTTCAGGAATCCTCATATACTGTTACAATTTGTTGCCTTGCCTTCTTGCGCTTTTATTCAGAGCGTTTGTGGTTCAGTTAGTGTTGCCACTGCTCGGCCATTCTTTGGCCAGTGCCTTCCATCTGTCCACATAGTTCTCCACCATCAAAAGTGCAAATGCTTCATCTGTGACATTGACAGCATTGCTCGACCCACATTGACAGCTTGCATCACCACAGTATTTAGTGATAAAAGAAGCAGGTGAGATCAAGGCTTTTGTCACACAACAGTAGCGCCAAAACATGAATACGTACCCTCTTTGTGTTCATGGTCCTCATCACTGCTCACACTTGAACTATTGTCATACACCTTTTCCTGTCTCCGACACTCCCCTTCAACCCAAATTGACATCTTGCATCACCATAATATTTAGTGACAAAAGAAGCAGGTGAGATCAAGGCTTTTGTCACACAACAGTAGCACAAAACATGAATACTCACCCCCTTTGTGTTCAAGGTCCTCATCACTGCTCACACTTGAATCATCGTCATACCTTTTCCTGTCTCCGAGACTCCCCTTCATTTGTTGGCAAATAGACAAAGCATGCTGTTGTTTCTCCAATGTTCAACAATGACGTTCTGATTCCAATAGTACAAAAAACTCACGGGTTGTTTGGGTGGGGTCTTTGCTAGTGTTGCACGGTTTGAAGCTGTCTTCTTCTTGGTCTCATTGCCCTTCCCCTTGCTTGGTGCCTTCTTGCTCCTTGTCTTGTTTTCATACACTCAAAGATTTTTTATTATGTGTGCGCTGAGAAACCTTTGTCTTGACAAAGCTGGATTCAGTGGAAATGAACTTGGCACTAGTAGTAACTACATGCAGCATTGGGTTGGAAGGCGTGATTCTACAATTTTTCTGTAGAAATGTACCATAGGGTGGGCTTGAATCCATCCTGGCGCGAATTTTGCCCTGCTATTACAAACAGCCTTACTCAACATATGGCTTACTTAACAAAATGACTCAAAAGTGTTATGGACTTGTCCAATCTACGTTATTTCTACTGAGTGGGATCCTGGTAGATTTGCAGGGAGCTGCACTAACAAACTTGTAACTCTTAATGGGATCCTGATTGAGAGACATGTCTCAACCAACAAATCCCAATTTTGTAGCTTATATGCACAATGTCTGCCATATGAAATGTCACGATTACCATTACCAACAAAGCAAAATTGGCAAAGGCGCCACCTGCAGTGAAAAGGATAGGAAAATGCAATTTCTCCTGTTTCTATTGATCATTAAATGGCATCATAGTACTGTAAGAATTTGCTCTTTGATGAGCTTGCTTCATTGTGCCAATTGTACTGTATTCGGTTGCATTGCTGTCGAATTCTTCACCAATGATGTCATCTGCTTGCAGTTTCTTTTCTCAATGTTGTTTTTGGTTCTGTCTTGGGCTCATCGGAGAAACGTTTTGATCACTTCTGACCGTGTAGAATTCTACGTGCAGGATCGTGGTACATTTGGACAGAGCGTCTAGGTGTCATGGCTCACATTAGTCCACTAGTCCAATTAGTCGAATCATATCAGTCGAATGAACATCAATTACTCTGATATGAGTACTTCTACAAACGCCCCCTTACTCAGCATGTCCACAGTAGTCTTGTCAAAAGCAATCTTGCCAAATGTCAAGTACATCTATTACCTATGCTACGAGCCGACAGTGATGTGGCAATGAGGTGGCGACAGTCTGACAAATACATCTTATCAAGACTGCAGTAGAAGTTGTGTGTCTCCAGTACACACCTTCTCTTCTGATGTCAGTATGGCTATCGCGTTCTGCCCAGGGAAGTAGTT